AGACCAAAAAAAGCTGATATAAAGATAACAATTCGGATAGCAATTCCAAAGAAAATGAGTAGTTTTATGGCGAATTCAATCAAAAACCTGACATTAGCTACATTGATTTGGAGGTTGCTAAGAGAAAATTTTTAGGGAAACTTAAAAAAAGTGACGACAAGGTTTTGCAGATCGAACAAGTCACCAAATCACAAGACTGAATATTTAAACGATGGACACCACGTATAAATAATATGGGGGCGTTTTCGTGAAAACAACTTTATGGAATAATGTTTCTGAACGAAGTTTCCTCCTGGAGGCGATATCGAGGCAACTAGCTCCCTCTAGCTTATGCGATACCCTGTCAAACCTGCGGATCCAAATATGAACGTGAGACACAAATTTTGGATTTTCTGAATTCGTCCATTATCCATTTGCACTAAACAGGAATAGGGACAAAACTAGAACGTCAATAAGAATAATCTTCAATCTTACTGGCAGAATATAGCGGTGTGGGAATAAAAACTTTGACCGAAAAAAAATGTCCTTTGGATGAATTCTTTAACGTGATAATGGAATCTTAATTCATGCATTTCCAAACCTAAGCTCCACGCCACTTAGACATTCTTAATTGTACCCTGGCGGTAAAGCTATTTTATAAAGCAGGTTTTTGTTTGCCAAATGAAATAACGTCAGATTTAGATGGGTTAATGGCAAGATAATGTGAAAAAGATTCAGAGTGAAGTCCATATTAATCTCATCATTTGCAGCAGCTGGACTGAGGCCAAAAGGAAATTTCATCTGTGTATCGCCGGCACACAAATAAGGGGGACATTTGTTGAAAACTTTAGTCATGTTAAAAGAATATATTTATAAAAAAATAGTAAAATGAGGTGTGAAGATTTATATTGATAGTACGAGTGATACTGGGTAGACGTACATATTAGATCTAGGAAGCAGCAAGGTAATTTTAGCAGTTATCCTGAAAACAAAAAAAAAAACACTCCACTCGTACCTCTGGTTGCATGACCCATTTCTGGTACACGTACGATATCTACTACACCACCCCAGTTTATATGTATAGTACATATAATTATCACTATGATAGCCAAGTATTAAAAAATGTTCACGTCAAATAAGAGTACTTGTTTTTTCTGACAAACTGCTTCATAATGATCCATGACAATGGCTTAGGCCACAATACATTATACAAGCAGTTCCATCTGTAACACATTTGTATACTAAGTGACATAGAAATCCGAACACCCAGTTTAAATGGTTTTATTTTAATAAAAGTTGGTGAACGTATTTATCTTACTGTAAATAACAAGTGAAAAAAGTTTCAGCCTTATCAGTTGGACATTCCGGTTTTTATACTGCTTTTTTTTAATTCACTAACACTCTAAAAATGAATATTTCAGCCGCAGTAAAGAATCAACGTTGGCGGATTTTGGTTTTTGACATCCTTTACGATCGGTTACGATGCCTAGAGTACGGAGACCTGTACGATTTCGTCAACTTAGTGAGTTTGATAGGGGCCGTATAGTGGGACATCGGGAAGCTGGACTTTCTTTTTGGGCAATTGCACTTAGAGTGCAAAGAAGTGTAGACACTGTGGTTAGGTGTTGTCAGGCATGGCTTCGAGAAGGCCGTACGCAAAGAGCAAGGGCACTGGACGCCGCCGTAGAACAACATACCGTGAAGACCGCCGCCTAAGATTATTGGCCTTAAGGGACTGTTTCTCCACTACCAGGTCCATTGCAAATGAATGGTTTGCAGAACACGGAAGACCTATTGGCATGCGAAGTGTTTACCGACGAATGAGAAGTTTTGGCTTGTTTTCATACCGGCCACACTGGGTCCTCCCTTTAACTCGAGAACACCGACGTAATCGCCTTGAGTGGTGCAGACAACGGTCACTCTGGGATCAGGAATGGAACAGTATTGTCTTTAGTTACGAGTCTCGATTTTGTTTAGGCATGCACGATGGTCGTGCCAGGGTTAGAAGGCGACGTGGTGAAAGGAGGAATCCACAGTTTTTTGTTGAAAGACATGTTCATCACACTGTTGGAGTTATGGTTTGGGGTGCTATAGCTTATGGTTCCAGGTCACCTTTAATCTTCATCAGAGGTAACATGAACGCGCAGCGTTATATCCACGAAGTTCTAGAACCCCATCTTTTACCCTATCTTGACACCCTGGCAGATCCAACTTTCCAACAAGATAATGCCCGTCCACATGTTGCAAGAGTCACAATAGACTTCTTCCAACATAATGATGTCACATTGTTACCCTGGCCACCAAGATCTCCCGACTTATTCCCAATTGAGCACGTGTGGGATATGATGGGTAGGAGATTGCTCAATTTGCAACGTCCTCCTCAGACTCTAGAAGCACTTCGAGAGGAGTTAGTGGTTGGCTGGAACGAGATACCACAGGAGGACATTAACCACCTGATCAGAAGCATGCCTAGGCGCGTTGGAGAATGCGTAGCACATCAGGGTGCATCCACACATTATTAAAGGTCAAAGGGCTTTAAAGCACTGCAATCATTTTGAAATTTTTTTCATTTACTTATTATGCTTCATTAAGTACTTATACAAAATTTTATTAAAATAAAACCATTTAAACTAGGTGTTCGGATTTATATGTCACTTAGTATATTTGTCAAACTTTCCGTATCTCTCCGTCTATTTCAAGTGTCACAACCTGTCAGTGTATCTATATTATAACATATGAGTGGAGTGGAGGGCGTGATCGAATAGAACTTTTTAATCCTATTTCCATATTATCTCAATCATTTTTTGTACAATCTCATACATTTTGTCACATATCGACAGGATATAATGGTTTACATGTCATAAGTTGTCCAAGACGTAACAAAAAAGTTTGTTAGAAAAGTTACCAGATACCTACAACTAACATGTTTTTTGAAATGATGGGCTCTTGACATTAACATACTTTAACCTAATGTGAACACGAAATTTGAACTCGTCCGCATTGATATTTTTAGAGAGAGTACCGAAATAAGATCCGACAAATTCGACCAAAACATTTTTGCATATTTTTGAATTAAGTGCATAAAACTTAACAATAACAAGTATGTACCTCTACAGACCATCACAAAAATCCAATCGGCGACCACGGGAAAACAACGTTAAGAAACATGATGAACCAACTTAAGAAACGGGTGCCTTAGGCCCATATCGTCAGTCGTCCCTACTATTGTAGGGCGCGTTTATGGCCTCCTTGATTGTCATTCTCCTTTCTTTCCTTCAAAAATTTCTAGATTGCACTTGTCCCGTGTCAGCGTCAGCGCTGCCCTATTGTGAAGATATGTTTTCTTTTTAAATCGTAGGAAATTTCAGGCTGACAAAACCTGATATAACTCAAAAGTAAGCACAATTTGATGCAAATAGATGTTTGTGACATAACCTCAAAATAGAGCGCTGACACGGAGAAGTAGAAAACTATGACAATCAAGCAGGCCATAATAGATATATACTAAGTGACATATAAATCCGAACACCCAGTTTAAATGGTTTTATTTTAATAAAATTTTGTATAAGTACTTAATGAAGCATAATAAGTAAATGATAAAAATTTCAAAATGATTGCACTGCTTTAAAGCATTTTGACCTTTAATAATGTGTGGATGCACCCTGATGTGCTACGCATTCTCCAACGCGCCTAGACATGCCTCTGATTAGGTGGTCAATGTCCTCCTGTGGTATCTCATTCCAGGCAACCACCAACTCCTCTCGAAGTGCTACTAGAGTCTGAGGAGGACGTTGCAAATTGAGCAATCTCCCACCCATCATATCCCATACGTCCTCAATTGGGGATAAGTCGGGAGATCTTGGTGGCCATGGTAACAATGTGACATCATTATGTTGAAAGAAGTCTATTGTGACTCTTACAACATGTGGTCGGGCATTATCTTGTTGGAAAGTCGGATCTGCCAGGGTGTCAAGATAGGGTAAAAGATGAGGTTCTAGAACTTCGTGGATATAACGCTGCGCGTTCATGTTACCTCTGATGAAGATTAAAGGTGACCTGGAACCATAAGCTATAGCACCCCAAACCATAACTCCAACAGTGTAATGAACATGTCTTTCAACAAAAAACTGTGAATTCCTCCTTTCACCACGTCGCCTTCTAACCCTGGCACGATCATCGTGCATGCCTAAACAAAATCGAGACTCGTCCAGTCCTGATCCCAGAGTGACCGTTGACTGCACCACTCAAGGCGATTACGTCGGTGTTCTCGAGTTAAAGGGAGGACCCAGTGTGGCCGGTATGAAAACAAGCCAAAACTTCTCATTCGTCGGTAAACACTTCGCATGCCAATAGGTCTTCCGTGTTCTGCAAACCATTCATTTGCAATGGATCTGGTAGTGGAGAAACGGTCCCTTAAGTCCAATAACCTTAGGCGGCGATCTTCACGGTCTGTTGTTCTACGGCGGCGTCCAGTATCCCTTGCTCTTTGCGTACGGCCTTCTCGAAGCCATGCCTGACAACACCTAACCACAGTGCCTACACTTCTTTGCACTCTAACTGCAAAAGAAAGTCCAGCTTCCCGAAGTCCCACTATACGGCCCCTATCGAACTCACTAAGTTGACGAAATCGTACAGGTCTCCGTACCTAGGCATCGTAACCGATCGTAAAGGATGTCAGGAACCAAAATCCGCCAACGTTGATTCTTTACTGCTACTGCTACTGCTTTACTTACTCTTTTTAGAGCGTTAGTGAATTAAAAAAAAAGCAGTATAAAAACCGGAATGTCCAACTGATAAGCCTGAACATTTTTTCACTTGTTATTTACGGTAAGATAAATACATTCACCAACTTTTATTAAAATAAAACCATTTAAACTGGGTGTTCGGATTTATATGTCACTTAGTATATTTAACTTCTCAAGTGGCAGCCAGGGAGGATAGCCGCAACCTAGTGACCGCTCCTCACTCTATAATAAATGTCTGCTCGATACGTGATTATCGACCAGTATACGCAATCACGGATCAAATTTTGACATTCACATGTAAATGCCAAACACATTTCAGGCATTCTAGCGAGTATGTTATAATGTATATAACCGCAATGTCATTCGTGTTGAAGCTCCGTAAGGTATTTCCGTATCACTTGCAATTCTCGCAAATACGTTTTATGCACGTATTGCCGGTAAGGCATGCAAGTGACTGCAAGACTAACCTCAAGGAGGTTTTGAGGTCCAAGATTGGCGCTGAGCAGGAACGCATTAAAAAATTCCGGAAAGAGTATGGGAACACAAAGGTTGGTGAGGTCACTATCGATATGATGTATGGTGGTATGAGAGGTATCAAGGGCCTTGTGTATGAGACCTCACTCCTCGATGCATCAGAAGGAATACGGTTCAGGGGACTTTCTATACCAGGTACGTATTTTTCACTAACATTTAAGTCTTGATTTTAGTCGAATATTCTTTGGGAACGGCAAGATAGATAATTACTTTGTCGTTTTTCTTATGTTCAATTTATACATTTTTGGGATTCGGTCAGCTCTAGACATTAATTAAACATTCTAGGTTTCGGCAACTTTAAATGACATCATCAGGTTTATTTGAGTTTCTGAGCATCAGAAATTACAACAGAAAATATGTTAAAAACTTACTAGTTGATAAAAATGATACAATTTCTGCCAGATACATGTTGGTAGTTTGAAAGTAGCCCAACGATTGTTGACACATATGTTTATCAAACAAAGGTAAAAAATATTATCAAACCTTTTTACATTGAGCTGGTGGTATGGGTGAGAAAATGCAACAGCTCCTTTTTCCAATAAATTTGTGTAGATACTTGATAGATTATTTGGATTTTCTATTATTTATACTGGTAGTATATACGTAACTGACTGGTTTGTATCTTGAATATTTGTGAAATAAAATAAAATACGTCTATTTTTTTCATCATTTATTGAAACTTACAAATTATGTAGGAAAAATAACATCAGACAAATGCCCGCGTCTAGAAGCCCCGCAAACCTCAGACTTCCTGATTACATTTGCCATCACTTTTGGTAGGTTTCGGGAGGAATATTTTCAAACGCTTCCGTAATATTGTTCTTCAGCTGCTCTACAGTATTTGGTTTTTTGGCATAAAAACTATTTTTCAAAAATGCCCATAAAAAAGTCAGGAGCCGTTAAATCCGGTGACCTTGGTGGCCACTCGACATCTCCAAATCGAGAAATTAAACGTCTCTTAAATATTGGTCGCAAAAGATTCCTTGTTTCCCTAGCTATGTGACAAGTTGCTGCGTCCTGCTGGAACAGCTTGTTTTGCAGGTTAAATTGTTGCATTTTAGGATCCAGAAAGTTTTGCACCATATCACGGTAGCGCTCGCCACTGACAGTAAGAGAATTACATGCAGCGTTTTCAAAAAAGTAGGGTTCAGTGACACATCCATACCAAATACCGCACGGAACTGTGACTCGACGAGGATGGAGTGGTCATTGATGGATGACACGAGAGTTCTCTAATGCCCAGATACGACAATTCTACCTATTAACAAATCCGTTCATATCGAAGTTCGCTTCATCGCTCATTATCAGTTGTCAGCAAAAATCGTTTTTCTGTGACATGGGATGGCACTGACTGATGCTAAATGTTCTTGCTGATTTCACTTTTACAGAGGTATGACAAAACGTGATAATTTTGACATATCAACCTTAATAAAACAAGATTCCGCGCCAAAGGTATGAGGAGTTTTGATACATAATACATAATATGTACCAATTTTCAGCTTAGTGAATTTTTTCTCAAATTCACAGTATTTTGTCTGGGGTATATTTTACGTGGAGTCTGTAAGCACCATCCGCCAATACACTCAATATTTGCCACGTCATTATCTAATTCCAGAATGCAAGGAACTATTACCCAGAGCACCCGAAGGATGCGAACCCCTTCCAGAAGGCATATTTTGGCTCCTCCTGACAGGGGATGTCCCGAGTGACGACCAGGTGAAGACCGTGTCCAACGAATGGACCAAACGTGCTGGACTGCCCCGCCACGTGACCCAGCTGCTGGCCAACATCCCACGCGACCTCCATCCTATGTCCCAGTTTGTCACAGCGATTGCTGCATGTAATAACCAAAGCTGTTTCTCCAAAGCGTACGCCGAAGGAGTCCCCAAGTCCGAGTACTGGGAACACGCGTACGAAGATGTTATGAACTTGTTAGCAAATCTGCCACTGATCGCTGCGGCTATTTATAATAATGCTTATAAAGGCGGAGAGGCCTGCTTGGAGATTGACATAGACCAGGTACCGGATACCCACAATACTCTTAGTGACAAAGTAAAAAGTTCACCCAGAAAAACTATTTCGCATTACTGTAATTTTATACAGGGTGTTTGGTAGTTGAACCGACAAAATTGTTCAAGTAAATATTGTTATAACTTTTTTGTCGAGATGATAATACAGGTTCTATGATGTATGTTTGCCCAACTAACAAAGTGGTGCTATAAGTTTTGTTTACCTGTAAAAGCTTCCTTTTGTTGTTGCCTGAACGCCAAAATGCTGGCTTAACGTTGTGTGAAATGCAAATTTGCTATCTGCAGCATATTTACTCTGAAATGAGGTGTCTAAAACCTTCTTGTAGCGTAGTATTATGCAACACCTTATATGACAAGTTTCTAACTGCTGCATTAACGTTTATACATCTATTCTATGCGACATATTTACGCGGGTGTCAAAATAGTTGTGATGCAACATCTATGGTAACATTTATACAACAAGCCCGAGCCTTATTGTTTTGATGTGCAAAATTACTATTTTTTAGTCAACAAGGTTCTCCCCACGGATCTGTTGTTTAGTAGCTGTCGTAGGCTGTACAGTTGCTACAATATCACAGCCTTTATAGTACAAAATTACATGATCCAACGAACTTACCTGTAAGTGATGCCCGATCTTAATTATGTGAAGTCATCCTTAGTGGTTTCCTAAATGGTCATGTGCACTCTGACAAAAATATTCCAAGGTTATCACAAACCAAATGAAATTTGCTATCACAGGCAAAATGTAACGCTAACCTCGCATAAGTTGCCTATTGTTTATCTGGTGATAAGAAAAAGATATACATTGGCGGTTTTCTAACCTGACATGTTCATAGTGACACACCTGTTCCACGGTTATCACACACCACGTGGAATTTGCTATCACAGGACCATACCTTGTAGCTACGTTGTCCCACACGTTTTCAGTGTTGTTATTTGTACAAGTTCAGTATTGAGTGATTTTTTCAAACATCTTCATTCGTCCTTGGTGTGGACTATCACAAGCTAGGTCCACGTTGCTATCCCAAGCAACCAAGTCCAAAATTTGTTCGTCCTAGGTATGAAGTTGGCTATCACAAGCTAGGTCCAGGCTGCTATCCCAAGCAGCAGTGTCAGAACGTTATTCCAAACGTCAGGCATCTATAGTGATATTCACTCAACTTGCACCTAAAACGGATCGGTTAGTTGACAGTTACCTGATGGTGACGCCCCTTCAGAAAGAGAGGCCTGCACGCCACTTTCTAGTTTTGGTCGGCGACGAAAGGAACCTTCAGGCGACCGTTGCCGTCGGTCTGTATCTCGTTCGACAATGCACATCTATCGGCCAACCTTCGGTCCTGTTTTCTAATTCTAAAAGTTCAGCGGATCCTCGACACTGCACTGCTCGTAAACGACGCGCGCCGATTAACGTCTTGACGGTCGGGCACGAGGACAAGGAATGAAGGTTTATACGTGGCAAGAGGGAAGAAAGGTAGGGGGAAGGGGCACGGTGCCGCTATCCTTCTCTGCGTGCGCGCTTTGAAATCATGGCGGTTGGGTACTACTACGGGGGTACTACGATATGTATTCTAAATATGTACTTCGACGAGGACGGAACACAATTACTGTACTCGGCATACATTTGTTGCTTAGTATATGGATATACAACTTGACATTACCTAACTTTCTACTGTCACCTTTTTAGGTTAAATGCCTTTATACTAATATTTGTCTTCTTTAGAGACAATATGAATGATGAGCCATCGTAATATGAGTGATAATTGTCAGTTGTGTAAATAGTTTGTACAAACGGCTCCAAAAAATGACTTCCAAAGACGTAAGATGACGCGGTGTGAATGCAAATTTAAAATTTGAATACAAAAAGACTTCATCTGTTTCCTAGCTTATAACCTCTCCAACCATGTACCACACATCGTAGACGTAGTTTGATATGTGGTCTAGATAAGAGAATACGGTAGGCCATTGGATTTTTCAGTTTTCCTCATTTATATTCGATTTGGATCAGTTACTGTTTTTGAAACGACTGCCTCCACTGATTAGAATAATAAAGCAAGAAATAGCGAACCAATAAATAGGTAGGCTCAGCAATACCTCATATGCAAGACGATTTGAAGTTGCCTACATTGTCTACACGAATATCAAGATGTTGACGAACACAATTGACCACACGTAGATAATGGGGTATTTTACATGACGCAGACCATATCCTCATCGATATTATTCTCGCCAAGTAGAGACATGTACTTTGAAAAAAATGAAAATTGATTGAAATCGTGGAAGACATGAAAAAGGTTCATTGACCGAAACAACTGTTTTATCTTATTTTTACAGCATAACAACAGTAAAAACTAGACAAGTGACACATAATGAATCAGACAATGACCTTTATTTATTAATACCTGTTTTCCAGGCGAGGCGACAGAGTTCATTTGTTTTAATCGCCAGTGTAAACTATACTAAGTGACATATAAACCCGAACACCCAGTTTAAATGGTTTTATTTCAATAAAAGTTGGTGAATGTATTTATCTTACTGTAAATAACAAGTGGAAAAATTTTCAGCCTTATCAGTTCGACATTCCGGTTTTTATACTTCTTTTTTTTAATTCACTAACGCTCTAAAAATGAATATTTCAGCCGCAGTAAAGAATCAACGTTGGCGGATTTTGGTTCTTAACATCCTTTACGATCGATTACGATTCCTAGAGTATGGAGACCTGTACGATTTAGTCAACTGAGTGAGTTTGATAGGGGCCTATAGTGGGACTTCGGGAAGCTGGACTTTCTTTTCGGGCAATTGCAGTTAGAGTGCAAAGAAGTGTAGATACTGTGGTTAGGTGTTGTCAGGCATGGCTTCGAGAAGGCCGTACGCAAAAAGCAAGGGGCACTGGACGCCGCCGTAGAACAACAGACCGTGAAGATCGCCGCCTAAGATTATTGGCCTTAAGGGACCGTTTCTCCACTACCAGGTCCATTGCAAATGAATGGTTTGCAGAACAGGGAAGACAGATTGGCATGCGAAGTGTTTACCGACGAATGAGAAGTTTTGGCTTGTTTTCATACCGGCCACACTGGGTCCTCCCTTTAACTCGAGAACACAGACGTAATCGCCTTGAGTGGTGCAGACAACGGTCACTCTGGGATCAGGAATGGAACAGTATTGTCTTTAGTGACGAGTCTCGATTTTGTTTAGGCATGCACGATGGTCGTGCCAGGGTTAGAAGGCGACGTGGTGAAAGGAGGAATCCAGTTTTTTGTTGAAAGACATGTTCATCACACTGTTGGAGTTATGGTTTGGAGTGCTATAGCTTATGGTTCCAGGTCACCTTTAATCTTCATCAGAGGTAACATGACCGCGCAGCGCTATATCCACGAAGTTCTAGAACCCCATCTTTTACCCTATCTTGACACCCTGGCAGATCCAACATTCCAACAAGATAATGCCCGACCACATGTTGCAAGAGTCACAATAGACTTCTTTTAATATAATGATGTCACATTGTTACCATGGCCACCAAGATCTCCCGACTTATCCCCAATTGAGCACGTGTGGGATATGATGGGTAGGAGATTGCTCAATTTGCAACATCCCCCTCAGACTCTAGAAGCACTTCGAGAGGAGCTGGTGGTTGCCTGGAATGAGATACCACAGGATCACCATCAGGGTGCATCCATACATTATTTATTAAAGGTGAAAGGGCTTTAAAGCAGCGCAATCATTTTGAAATTTTTATCATTTACTTATTATGCTTCATTAAGTACTTATACAACATTTTATTAAAATAAAACCATTTAAACTGGGTGTTCGGATTTATATGTCACTTAGTATATTAAGCAGTCCTCAAGCTCATGTGCTGTATTTGCATTTTAAATTAGTTCACTTTCTAAAGATCATCATATTTATTTTATATATTAACGATATTCCTGATATTTTAAAACACTGCAAAATTCAACTATTTGCTGATGATACATTAATTTATATATCAAATAAAGACATTGAAACTGCTACTGAGCTGTTAAATAATGATACGAAAAACGTAATAGGTTGGTTAAATGTAAATAAACTTAAACTAAACACAAACAAAACAAAATACATGCTAATAGGAAACTCTCTACGTCAAAATACGATAAATCTTACAATTAATCATGAAAAAATTGTCAATCGAATCATTTAAATATTTCTGCATACAGGTAGACAGTAAATTAAAATTTGAAGGGCACTATGAATATATTATTTCAAAAATATCCAAGAAAATGAATTACTTTTATTATATTTATTCTAAAAAAAAATTGTACAACACTATCATTCTTCCTCATGTGTTATATTGTTCGACTATTTTTTTCAGTGCAAATGAAACTGTATTTTCAAAATTACAAATATTACAAAATAAAGCTATGAGAATTATCTTAAATAAAAATAAATATACTAGAATAAATTTTATGCTGAAAGAACTACAATGGTTAAATATCAAAAATTTCATAGCTTACTTGGTTTCCATTTTCATATTCAAGTTAAAAAATCATCTTCTACCAAATCACTTAGAAAATTTTATTGTATTGAACAATGAGTGTCGCAATTATTCTACTAGAGGATGTGTAGACTTTCATTTACAAAAGTGCAGTAGCAATATAACGAGCAAGTCAGTATTTCAAAAGGGATTGTACGAATTTAATAAATTAAGTCATGATATCAGGATGTGTGTCAGTGTGAAAATGTTCAAAGGGAAATTGAAAAAATATCTCATGGAAAACCAGAATTCATAGTAGTGAAATTTTGTATAAAAATATGTAGTCTTGAAGACATAATATATTTTGTGATATACTGTGTAATATGGATATTGTAGCATTAATGCTAAATAAACCTGAAACAAACAAATGTTTATGACACCTCCCGACACCTTACCGCAAGGTTTTTTAATGGAAAATTTCTTTCAGAATAACAAGTCTTCCAGTATTTGATCTGAAAACTACAACCTTCATCCCCTTATTTCTCAGGAACTAATCATAGGTATACTTTGGCCCAAAATAACGTTTATCCAGAAAAACGAGAGATATATCATATTAAATTCGTGTGGAGAGCCCTTTTTGTGTACGGTACCCACCTTTTTTATGTTCTTTTCTGTTATGTTATTTAACACTGTCTAGGACTGGAGTTACAACTTCGCCAAGCTCTTAGGCTTCGACGACCCTGGTTTCACGGAGATGTTACGCTTATACTTAACCCTTCACAGTGACCATGAGGGTGGGAATGTGTCAGCGCATACGACACATTTGGTGGGATCCGCTCTGAGTGACCCCTATCTGTCATTTGCTGCTGGGATGTGTGGATTGGCCGGGCCGCTACATGGATTGGCCAATCAGGAAGTGCTTGTTTGGCTGAATAAGTTGAGAGCGAAGCTAGGAGATACGCCAACGGAGGAGCAGGTCAAGACTTTTGTGGAACAGACGTTGAAGAGTGGACAAGTACGTAATTGTTGTGTACTGTAGTGACAAAAATTCTAAAAACCCAAAATCAGGTCCATTACTTATATTAGAATATTTCGTTTAAACGTTGGTAAATCTGAAGGTCTTAAATTTGCCGAAAGGTATTGTACATGCATTACAAGTTTTCGTAGAAATTCGGTATCTTTTCTCAATAGAAACTGATAATTAATTCCTTGATCACAGAATATTACACCGCCATATAACTTGTTAGTTTCTCTAACAACGCTACAACATGTTGTAGTCAAGGAGCTCAAAAAGTAAGATTTTGTATTAGGAAATCCTACAATTTAGACAACTGTACCTTTTAGTAGTGTCTTTGGATTATGGCTGAATGTAGAAATGCGCTCAATTGAGAATGTTGAAAACCATCGATCCTATGTAAAAAAGTACTGGATATAATTTTGTAGGGAATTAAATTTGTTATTCTACTTCTGTAAAAATTTGGCAACAAATTACGAGAGATTGAAGGGTAATAATAGTACATGTAGTGATATTTCTGCTTATAATAGCCACAGTACGAATGCAAGAGTATAAGACACTAGTAGGGAATGAAATGTGCATCAAAAAAGGTTTTTTTAAGTTTTTTTGATACATCGATCTTGAAGTATAAGGAGGGAAACTTTAAATTTCAAATCAAAGCAGCCATACAACGTTATTTGATGTGAAAATAACATAATGAACAGCACCAATCGTAGTTACTAGTGACGTCATACACAAGTGCATCGACGGCAGGTGCGTGATAAAATGTCCACTTACCGAAATGATATTTCTCGTGTGCCACGGGAGAGTGCTTTAGGCCCTGTGCTTTCTACCTTTTACACATCCGATTTAACAGATTAAACATCATCTCGTTGGAATGCACACCTGTATGCGGGTGGTGCACAAATATATGAGTCATGAGAACCAAGATGATGCAAATAGCCTCATATTTGAGCTTAACAGAAATTTAGAAATACTACTAAAATATTCAAAGAATTATTACTCAACCCCACAAAATCTAAAGCTTGTTGTATTTGTTCTCGACTGGTTGTTCCAAAATTCAGAGTAGCAATTGTAGAGGAAACAAAAAGTTGGGAAATACTATTCGACACAGATTTAAGTTTTTAGTGTCACCTTGTAAATAAACTCAAATTATGTTATTGTTAAAAGAAGATGATATACTGTTCAATCTTGGCCCCATTCGTCCGATTAACCCAAAGTCTTGCTTGTCGAATCCACAACTATATACAAGCTTCGACAATAAAGTCCTGGTGTCCACGAATTGAATCCGAAGCATTTTCAGTGCACTGTTGAAGTTCTTCCACAGTATTCACAGCTCCATGATAATATACCCTCTATCACATAGCCCCACAGAAGAAAATTCCAAGGTTTAAAATCCGGTGAGCGAGCAGGCCAAGAAATGGGCCCAATCTATTCGGAAACTCATTATTTAGATGTTCATGAACTTCTCGTCTAAAATGTGCTGGAGGCCCATCATGTAGGAACCACATATTCTGCCTCACATTTAAAGGAACATCTAGTAATTGTGGCAGATTGTGTCTAAAAAAATTTAAATAAATTTCACCGGTCAGTCGTGGTGGTGCAAAGTAGGATCCAATAAGCATGCCGTTTACCATGCAAGCCCAAACATTTAATGAAAATCTATGTTCTTTTTGCAGCATGCAAACTTTCTGCTACCCAAATATGATTGTGCACCCCATTTAATGTGGCCTCGTCTGTACACAAAATTAATTTTCTAGCTGTATTTTTTAATGCTTGTAACTCAGGGAGAAAAAACTATACGCTTGGAGTCTCTAATTAGACATACTCCTTATTTTAACTCGAGTCTACATTACATAGCGAAGATGCTTTCAGAGCTTTTTGTAGTTGGTTTTGTGTATCCACAGTTAGCAAATGTGGTCCTTCAAACTATATTTTCAGGTAGTTCCAGGTTTCGGCCACGCTGTCCTGAGAAAAACCGATCCAAGGTATATAAGCCAGAGAGAATTTGCTGAAAGGCACTTCCCGGATGACCCTCTGTTCAAAATAGTGTCAACCTTATTCCGTGTAGTCCCTCCGGTATTACAAGCTACAGGAAAGGTAAAAAACCCTTGGCCCAACGTGGATGCCCATTCGGGAGTGCTTATGCAGTACTATGGACTGACTGAGATGAACTTTTACACGGTAAGATCAAAAATGGCTGGAATACGGGCAACTTGAATAAGCACCTGAATTCTTTATTGCTTATACAAATAATGCATTTGTTTATTGTACGACCACAGTGGCCTTTTTCAAGTACAATAGCAATTAACGACAGTATATTTTAATTACGTATCTGTCCTTCGAGTGATGATCCTTCATATGGCGTAAACGTTATGATAGTCATTATTTAGATGGGTGAAAGAGTGGGTTAAAAGACGGAAAAAGTTTCATATAACATGGGGGTCAAAACGGCATTTTTTTGAAGGAAAGTAAATTTTTCCGTGGGATTCTATGGAATATAGTACGCGGCGGCCTAATTCCCGAGTGCTGATATCTGCATTAATTTTCACGATATTCAAAATTTGTTCCTCCTGCTCTACAGTAACCTGTCTTTTACGAGTGCAAATATTAGTGGGCTGAACACTTCCTGTATCTCGAAGTGTTTGATACACTTGCACAAATGTCCTTCTGTCTGGGTGTACCCGTTGGCGAAATCCGTCGCGATAAATTTGAGCTGCAAGATTTGAGTTGTGACGAGCTTCACCATAAACTAACATGTCGGCGAACTCCTTATTCGAGAACATTGTAAATAAACACGACGACGTACGCGAACAAAAACAAAACAACACGCCGCTCTGCTCGACAAGACAATAAAGTAATGTATCTATGCAAAACGATAACTAACCACTGTTACCGTTTGCGATCGATCGTCGGTTCGATAAGAGTGATGAAAGACCGACGCGATGTTGTCACGTGTGTATTAAAGATTGAATTTAATGAAACTTGCTTACTGACTACAAATTTTGGCTTAACTTAGGAAAACTTAATGCCATTTATTTGTTAATTACCTAATTTAAAAACGTTTTAGATTGGATTATAAAAATTAGTAAGATTGTGGTGATTGTGGTCGATTTAAGCACTTAAAGTTGTAAACTATAAAGCCATTTAGACAAAAATCTATGAATTTTTTGACTTGTTTTGCCCCCTATTACTCATTTCAATAATGACTACCATAACGTTTACACCCTGTAGACTGAGTGGCCCAGTAGCATGCCTATATCCGCGTCAAACTAGAAAAACCCAGAATCGCCTGGGGAGGCATTCGGGTTCCTGAAGCAAATCCCCAACAGCACACTTGGTTCCTGGAACGTGTGATTTAGGTCCTATGAACGTCCCATTGGGGTCGTTCCTTGAACGTTCCAATCAGTTGGTTCAGGAGCACATCTTTGGCGACGCATTTTTGAGCTTTATTCAGCGCGTCGTTGCCAGTGTTACTATTTTACAAGTTATTTCCGGGAAATACAATACAGTCGCGATATTGACCGATACGGTTAAAATTCTGTAGTTATGATTATGTTCATTATGTTTAACAACCTTTCTTGTTTAAAGCTGTCCTTTTTCGGGTCCCAACTTGATAATAAAAGGAAATTCCACTAGTCAAAAAAATCGGTTGCAGTACAATTCAGAAAAAAAAGAGTTGCACCTGGTGACAAAGTTGGGCAACACCTTGCTCTTACACTTAACCGCCAATGCAAAAGTAAAACAAGAGTTAATGTAAAATGTAGTTGTTTTTGTCTATATAGAAAATTTGTATGTCTTTGGTGCATTATAGGTGTTCTTCGGAGTGTCAAGGGCATTAGGGGTGCTTTCTGCCCTAATATGGTCCAGAGCGCTTGGTTTACCGCTTGAGAGGCCCAAGTCTATGACTACAGATTCTTTAATGCAGTTGGTTAAGAAAGACAAAGAGCAGCAGAAGCCCAAATAGTGATATGCTTTACTTTTTTGATTAGAATCATGTATTTGTAGGTAATGTGAATTAAACGTTCTGCTGCTAATAAAAATATTGTTCCATATAATATAGTCGAAAAGTCGCGGAACGGCAAGGTATTTGAGATGTATAAAAAGGGTGAAATAGTAGATGATTGGCATTTCTCCCTGGCTAATCAGTGGTAACCTTGGATTTGATCTTGAGCATAATCTTAAAGCTCAAACTTATGTCGAGACAATTTTCTTTAGTAGTGGTCTATTCTTCCCAATTTTAGACATAACGTTGGCCAGGCAAAATAGTTTCCACCCAAGGTCATATCTAAGCGTTAAAGTTTCTGTTCCCATTATTTCGGGCGTTGAAAATTATATGACACCACTTGAGGATTCCTCTCAACCTTGACTTGACCCCTCACAAAGTCTCGATCAGGTCATCTTAACATGAGTATGCATACGTACTCTGATAAATTAGCTTTGATCTAATTTTCCGCACAAATTGATTTAAAGCAATTAGTTCTTTTTTACACGGTTTAATTAAGTTTACAGAGAGCCATTGTACTTCCACGAACTCACTGATTTCTATTTGTACCCATTGCAATGGGTTGGAAGCTAGCAAAGGAAACGTAATTTTAAATTCCCACCATGCCTACGTTGCATACTTTTCAAAAAGCTGGCAAAAATACAATACCCACGACACTTAAACGGTTTTTTGGTTGCCAATTTCAAATCTCGGGTTAGTGTGTCTCGAAGAAGATATTTGAGGGTCGCATATAGGGTATTTTCATTAGAAATATCATAAGGGCATCTGATTTTTCCAAAAAAGAGAAGGAAAAAACACGTTACTAAGTGATATTTTAACAAGAAGCATGAGTGCTGGTGGCAACAAAAACCCGGGTCGAAGACCTTTGCACCTGGACGATTACTTTCCATTGTGTTTTTTTCGATATATGCCCGAATGATATCTGACAAGACTATTTCATGGATAATAGGTTATTTCTGGTGTCCTAGGAGTCCATAATTACTTGTTATCAAAGGTATTGTAATTTAGCTCGAAAAAACTGCTGACAGGTGACTGGTAGAAGTTAAGACGAGGGAAAAGTTATCAAAAGCACTAGATTCCATCTGACAGTACATAAACACAATGGGACAAAGGGTGGAACGTTATCAGAAACCTCTCCGAATAATTCAGGTATAAACGCACAACACAGCCGATGAGATCTGTATCAGAAAATTTTGACGAGAGACCTGGAGGTTATAACTGGTTGGAGACGCAACAATCTTGTGCAGTTTAATGCTTCCAAAACAGTCCTGTACGCACAAAAAGCAACGTATGACCGACTTTCGCAAGGAGCCGCTCATTTCAGCTGGTTGGAGTCTAGATTACGCGACGCGCCTACCAAACAGATCCGCCTGACTTTGGCCTACCATCCTAACCGTGTCGAACTTAGTATATACAGAAATGGCCGATACGACCGCTCCTATGTCGAAATTAAGGAACAATCTACAAGAGGAGGATTTACTCAGCTAACTTTGGGCAGCTAAAAAATCGCTTCAGTGTAGACAAAATCTAGTTGCTGTGCCACTGGACGAGCGTGTAAAATGAACCTACGTGACGCAATTTTCTCCCGTTGAAAAACAGCGTGGAATGATATACCGAATTTCAAGTCTAATAGTCTGCCATAGTAAAAGGTCGTATGAGCAAAGTTCTGCCAACATGGCCAACTTATTGTTCAAGGTAATAACTTTAAAATAGGTAATAATTTTCATTCACTTTCGATACTTTTTTTTAAATTTTTACCAAGTTTTCACATAAATGGACCGCTATGCGCAGATGAGGGTGTTCAATTATACATAATTGCAAGATCCAACTTATTCGGTTGTTGGGAGAAAAAGCAAGTGTTGAAAGGTGAATTCCTCAGGCGGCCAACGTATGACGGCTAAAAGATGTAAAAATCACTTCAATTCAAAATAGTACACTGAGTAATTAGGTGAAAAGGTCAAGTTAAAAATGACAGAAAATGACACCGAGTTACAAAAAACAACAGAAAGAACTGTGACAATAACAAAGGTGTCTCCATCTTGAAAATTTCCTGAAAAGTCTAATATTACAAAGATACGACGACAAATATGTAAAAAATATTTAAAAGCCAGAGCATTAAATTATAGGAGCCAAAAGACTAACGTATATACATGGTGTCCGAGATAAGGATCCTATGCATGTGGATCTCAATAACTGTGGAGGATACAGCTTGGGTTAAATTAGAAAAAAGCTGCGTCCTTCGGGGCATATTTACATGCTGTTGAGAGGCTTGTCGAGATTTCATGGGTTACTAAGGTATTTGGGGAAAACTAAAATTTGGACAAATCGTTTTATTTTTTTCTGACTTTGTCTCCAGAAATACCAAGAAACTAATGAAATAGGTTTATTGACACTTTTTGGTACTACATGATGGTGTTTTTAAGTTTTGTGCTCGACGTTTCGTTTGTTGAGAAACTATTACTACCTTCATTTTCTTATATGGTCCGAAAAAAAGTAGTCCCTATATCCGATAGCATCTCTTCCCAAGAATTCAATGATGTATAACGTGTTACATTTGTTTTCTCCAATATGAAGGAAAATGATTTACCTTTTTCATTTAATTAAGTAGGCCTTGCAAACAAATGCTTGATGGAAGAGTACGTGATGACTGATGGATGAAAATTACACACTACATGATGAGGTAAAATTTTATAGAATTGTGCTTAATCTAGTGATACTTACAATAACGAATACATTTTTTACGTTATTTTTATTTTATTCTGATTTCATTCACAATAGGTGTTCAAATAGGTTGCCATTATCTTCTACATAAATATGATCTTGTAACAGTAGCGTTGAAAACATGACGTAACGGTTCTGTTGTAATCATACTGCTACTACATGTTTATCAGTTTCAAAAGTCTGCTAATAAACTTGTTGTTTTAATAAAACTTCAAACAAAAAAATCCGAAGAAGCTAAATCCGGGGAACGCGCAGGTCAGGACGCTTCACTGAAGGTTCCAATCCACCTTCCGAGATATTGCTGAGAAACATTCTCTAACTTGACTAGAATTATGTGCATCACCGTCTTGTTAACACCTTACCCGTACTCTCATCGGATCATATTAATCTTGAAGGGAAATTAAAGTTTTTACACGTTCGAGTGTACCACCAACTAAAATGCTACCGCCGTTTTCTATCCTCTGGTCTAAGTCCTTGGCAAATTCTGAGTTTATAGGGATGATCTATATTTTCACGCAAAATAAATTGGGCTGTTGATTTGACTGCTTCTATATTTTTCTCAGTTTGCCTAGTTGATATCTCAGAGTAATCAGAAACTGCTTTTACACCTATAACACTATTCTGAGCTTTCTCTAAAGACTACATTTTTCTATACGTAACAGGCTTTTTGAATAACCATTTAATTTCTAGTCAAATCTAAGAAAATGGACTTGCTTGGCTGCCCTCTTTCAAGAAATTTATCAAAATACATTACTGCAGTATTTTTGTAGCACAAAATGTAGCATATCACCGCCTGGCATCTTTGACGATAACAGGGCAATAATAACAATATTGAAGGACATGTGTTTACCTCAAGTCACGCACTTGTTTGCAACACCTATCTAAAATAAATAACCTAATCAGAAAAAGCTCAGTTTTCCTTATAACCAAGAGAGTAGATGTAACATACAACGTTGTTTCCGTATAAACATGCTGTTACACCCCATTCGTAGCCCATTTACGCCCAGACAAGATTACACATCATGCCCAAAAGCGGTAAAGGTCCGTATTTGTCTCAATGGTCTTCGAATAATTATGATTATTTATACGAGCCCCTTCCCACTTCAGTTGGCCCAACTATTGAAATCTTAGTTTTTTTCTTATCTAACACAAATAATAAAAATGTAGCAGGGTGTTATAGGTTTAAAATATTAACAATGAATATTTTGAAAATATATAGTAGAAAACACCAACTTTATCACTCCCTAATCAAATTCGCAGCATAAAAATAACACATGTGGCAATTACAGCATATCAACCCTTTTTGCATTTCAATGCAAAATAGGTCTATAACGCATAGGTGGCTGTGAAAAATAAAAGCCATGACAATTGTTTTTATTAATCACAGCTGTCAGAATACGCCTAAAGTAGTTTTGGGTAGTTAAGGTTTCCAAAATGGGTAGAGGAAATGTTATTAGTGAGAAAAATCGGTTACTGACATTTAAATTTTTTAATTCTGGGAAGTCAAACTCAGAAATTGCAACTATGTTAGACTTATTGCGGTACAGTGTGAGAAATATTGTTAGAAGGTAAAGCGTAACTGGTTCAGTTAACATTAAGCCGCGATATGTGGAAAAAGTAATATCACAAATGCCGACCGAAGAGCATTAAGAATAATCATGAAAAAACAGGCATGCCAATTATTTACAATTAAGTGCTCTGTGGCGTGACGCTGTTGGAAGGAGGATTTCGAGGCCCACAACATATAGAGAGGCCCACAAACTGGGATTTGCACGTGCTGCAAGGTAAGTTTTGCTATAAAAAAAGTCAAGTAAAAACCCTAAAGTTGCACAACTTGTTTATAGGCCAAGGAAAAGCCTCTATTAACTCCACTGCAAAAGAAAAATCGGCTTAGATGGGCTAAAGAACATAGACAATGGACACCTCAACAATGATGTGCAATACAATGGAGTGATGAGGCCCGATTCGAAGTTTGTGTTGGTGACAGTCGCAGTAGAGTTATTCGCAAAAAGAATGAAGCATTCCACGTTGACTGTCTGAAGAGAAAAGTGAAATTTCCAGCATCCATTATGGTCTGGGGCAGTATGTCATCAGAAGGAGAAGGAAAACTTCATTTTATTGATGAAAATCTGGATACAAACAAATATTTGGCAATTTTAGAAGAATCGCTTTTACCAGTGATGGAAGAATGTGTGACATCCGGCCAAGACTTTGTGTTTCAGCAAGATGGTCCAGCGTGTCATACCTCAAAGGAGGCTATAAAATGGACGGAAGAAAATAATGTACCACTTTTGAAATGGGTTTCTAGCAGTCCAGATCTGTCACC